TGAGGTATTCTGTTGTGAGCAGAGAGTGGAGTAGTATATTGGGCATTCATATATCCCTTCATTGAAAGGGAGAGATGTTCTGGTGAGAATATACAGTATCACAACAAAGGTCTTCGTCAACAATCAAGATGGGAAAATATCAAAGAGCTTCCAACAGGACTCTAACTATAGAGAGAGAAAGAAGGATGTTACTCTCTGTAATCAAAGCAGTGTAATAGAGAATCAGATGACCATTGCTTATGAAAGCTGATGCCCTAATAAAACATATTTATTGTGAAAGTACTACAAGTTTCTGTGTTTAATTTATTATGTAAACTAACACAGTTCTTATCTTCTTATCCCAGCCATCTCTATTTAAAATAGGAATTCCTAGAAATTATTTTAGTCCAAGGTCAGGCTTCAAGCCTCCATTATAAATACTGGAACATGTTATATCCCTGTTTCTCGAACACTCATTCTCCTTACTGAGAGATAAGGGGATGTTAAAAAGGAGGTCAATTTTAAAGTTGTTTGTTAGGTGGCATAGGAACGGCCTGTTCAGAGAGACAAAGTGAAACACTTCACTTCATTTCAATGAAAACCTTCCAGAGGTTGTTAAATTACAACTGTCACCATCTTTCCCTATCAGCCAGGCTAGCTGGGACACATTCAAGGTGTCAATCAACATCTGGCATGCCATTGATTTGACAGCCCTGATTATAAAAATGTATGTACTAACAAGCTTATCTACGGATAACAAGAAGGCTACAACGTGGTAAACATTTGAAGACTAGAATGAGTATTACCAAAAAGAGCTTCTGAGTTTTATAGCTAATTGTGCTACATCTTTATAACCAAAATGTTTTATAGAAAGTGAATTTCAATCAGATGCTTTAAAAATCCCTTTTGTGTTTGAATTGCTGAGTTCCACCAACATAATGTTTTCTTTTTTTCTTTTTTAGGTAACCCACCAATCTTACTTCTGCCGGATAATGTCCGTATTCGGAGATACAACATGTCATCTGAGCAATATTCAGACTATATTGAAAATGAGGAACACATTCAAGCAGTAGACTACCATTGGGATCCTGAAGGAATTGGCCTAAGTATGTTTTAGTTTTTGGTTATTAGAACAACATAGCCACAGGGTGTGTGTGTCTGTGTCTGTCTGTGTGTGTATGTGTGTGAGAGAAAGAGAGCAATAGCAATAGCAGTTAGACTTATATACCGCTTCNAGATTTAAACCGCTGAACTGCAGATAACAGTCAGCTGAAGTGGCCTGCAGTACTGCACCCTAACCACTGCGCCACCTTGGCTCTTAGAGAGACAGAGAAGCAGAGAAATAACTTCTTCAGAATTTGTTTTTCATGGAATCATTAAGTTATGGGCATGTAATATTTTAAGTTCCTTATCTATTAAATAGACATGATTGTAGCTTGTAAGAACTTTGTGAGGTGTAATATTATGAATCACTTTGCAAATTAGACTTAAATATCTATTTTTTTGCCACCCATCTCCCATCTGTCTATTATCTGTCTATTATCTATCTATCTATCTATCTATCTATCTATCTATCTATCTATCTATCTATCTATCTATCATCTATCTATCATCTAAACTTACTCTAAACTATATAGTAAACTTGCTGCAGGAAGCAGAGAAGAATCTTGTTGTCAGCTTCTATCATTTCTGGTTCAGCAATATACTGTATAATACCCGAAGAAACCATTTAGTAGGGACCAATGCGATCTCTTTCTTTCTCTTACAAATGTCAATTAGGGAACTATGATTTTAGCATTGGATACAGTCATGGCTGTTTAGTTTAGATTTTGCTAAAGCAGCATTAGGATAAAATATCAAAAAGTGGACTTGTGGTCATCTAGTAAGCTGACTTCCAGAAGACCAATTACCAATTAAGAATGAGTGTATTAAAAATTAGGAAGCCTGATAGCCTGGTTACCCATTTATAAATGGAGGTTTTCCAGGTTGTTAATTTTTTACAAGTTGAAATACTTCTTGTGGTTCCAAGATAGCACACCTCTTTGAAGCAGTTCCAAGAGTTTCTGCATATGGACACTAAATTTCTTAGCTTCAGCAATGCTGATCTTTGGTTCATATGGTTTTAAACCATGACCTGCCCTACTGTACCTAACAGAAATGGGTGAATGATATACATATCCATTGCTACAATTTAAGCCTGAAAGTATTTTGCAAATAGTCAGCAAGTTGGAGGCTTAACAAAAGGCATTGAGTTGGGTCAATTCTTTTTAGCTTGACGGAATTGATGAACTGTTTCAAAATAATGTTAAACCAGGATTATTAAACTGTAATCCATTGAACAGATCATGCCATATCAAAATTAAACCAATCTATGCATTTGCAAATTGTGTGAACTGACTTACTGCATGCTTCTATCAATCCCGTATTTGAAATGTTAGAAACAATTTGAAATTGTTGTACTAAGCAATGTTTTTTCCAGTGAAAATATAAAAAGAGGTCTGAACTCTTCTAGGTGTTGTATACTACAGCATTCTTGGACGTGGATCACAATTTGGTTCCATCAAACGTGCATATATCCCCACATTTGAAAGCAGTGAAAACAATCCTGTGAAAGAAGTTGACCTGAACCTTAGATACTTGGTCAGTCCTGTTGGTTTAGCAGTGGATTGGGTTGGCAAGTAAGTGCAAAGTTAGATAAAAGTGCTTCAGAAATACACACACACACACACACACACACACACACACAAACATGGCTTGGTTCAAAATTACTGAGTTATTTTTTTCCTGGGCAAAATACTTCTTGAATGCCAATTGGTATAATTTCTTGGGTCATAGAAACTTTTGTGGGTCTTTATTTGTTATTTTCATTGTTAAAGTTATTAATTACTATTATTGCCTCTGAAAGCTGTCATGGGCAAGCTTGTGATGTTATGATATAACAGGATCAGTATCTTACTCTCTGGCCATTTTTCATCCTTGGTGGACACTTGAAGTGTTCATATTTAAAGGGCCTATTAAACTTAGTAGTTTAATAGATGAGCACACTTTTCTTTTTATTTTCAATAAACAATTCCCAAGAAATTGTGCTGGCATAATTTGGTGAAATTTTAGCACTGTAGTTTTGGAACTTCACAGCAAGGGAATCTTGTTGGATAGAGTCTGATTTGAAAACTGCCTGATTCAGGCCAACTAAGTTAAATATAAGGAAGATGAAACAATGTTAAATACTGTATAAGGAAGATTAACAAACAAATATTTATGTTAATGTTAAACATGACCCAAAAGTTATGCATTTTGTTTCTTAATTAGGCACATTTATTGGACTGATTCTGGGACAAACAGAATAGAGGTGGCAAAACTTGATGGGAGATATCGGAAATGGTTAATCTCTTCTCTCCTGGATCAGCCAGCAGCCATAGCAGTCAACCCTAAGCTTGGGTGAGTATTTTCAACCCAGAATAATTGTAATAATAAGCAATATGGAATACTGCATTTCTTACCATTTTTGGGGTCAACGTTTCTTTTTCTTTGTTCTGTTCTAGATGGCCTTGAAATGTGTGGGAAATAATTAATAGTTGCTTGTTTGGCTTTTTAGGTTAATGTATTGGACTGATTGGGGAAGACAACCAAAAATCGAAAGTGCCTGGATGGATGGACAGCAGAGGAATACACTGGTTTCTGAAGACCTTGGCTGGCCAACTGGCCTTTCTATTGACTATCTGAACAGTGACAGGATCTACTGGAGTGATGAGAAGGAAAATCTAATTGAATCTATGAAGTTTGATGGAACAGATAGAAAGGTTGTTTTACATGGAGGTATGTGGCATCCAGCTGAATTTAACTGACTGCAAAAAAGCTGAGCAAATCAGACTTGGTTAATGTGATGGTATGTAAGAATGACCTTGGGAGACAGGAAGAAGAGCTGCAGAGTAAACATTGGTTAAAAAAAAAAAAGAGGCAGCCTAGCACTAGGGAAATGGTGAACATCTCAGAAGGCACCCTCCCTTGTTTCTTGGATTGTAAAGGCAAGTAGGGTCAGATGTACTTTCAGATTTCCAAGATGCTGTTAAGATAACATTAAATAAAGTTAAAGGTACTATTTCTGGGTGTATTTCTTGTCAAGCTAACAGGTAGTCATCAGTTGGGAAACAACCAAGAAATTAGGATTTTAAACTACGGTATGTTGGGAAATTTTAAAAAAAGAACTGACACAGACATATTTTGAAAGCTACATGAACGTATTCATGAAACCACCAAAAATTGAATTCAAATCCATTCTAATTTATTAAAATGATCATGGATTGAACTGATTTTTCAAAATATTTCCTAAGACATCTAGAGACTGTTCAAGGAAAATTTTTAAAGTGACTAATGGCAGAAGCAGACAACGTTCTGAGGATTAATAGAATTGTTCATTAATTTCACAGAGCAAAGTCAGCATGAGTAGTGTATTATCTTCATTAACTCCATCTTAAGCAGAGATGGTTTAGGAAGAAAACTCTGACATGTATTTAAACAAGCTTTTAGGTCTCTTGAGAAATTCCACAGAAGATTTGAGATACTTCGATTTCCAGAATCTGTTAAAATCCACTAATGCAAATGCACAGAGAAATGCTAAAAGAACAATTGAGATTGAGATTGAGATTTATTGCATTTATATGCTGCCCTATTCCCGGAGGGACTCAGCGCGGCTCACAAATCAAAAGGAGGGAATACAAACAAGGGGAAAGATGACAAAACAATGCTATTGTTTCTGCAATATGACAAAACAATGCTATTGTTTCTGCAATAATACCTAGAATAACAGTGTTGCTGGTCTTTGCTGTTAACTTCTCTCTTTTACTTAACCCCAAAGTCAGCAACCCGTTTAGCCTTGATGTGTTCGAAGGCCATCTGTATTGGACATCGAAAGAAAGAGGAGAAGTCTGGAAAAAAGACAAGTTTGGAAATGGAGAAAAAGTCAAACTGTTGACCATAAACCCATGGCTCACTCAAGTCCGGATCTATCACCAACACAGATGCAACCAGTCAGGTAATGACCTCTCATTGATGAATGAATTGTTGTTATACCCAAATAAACATGATACACTTGAAGAAATGAATCATCATTTGCTAATGAGCAAATCTCTCCGTGCTTGATATCAATGACAGCTTGAAACTGGAGTTGGTGGAGGCCGTCAGCGATATTAACTGGATTCTTCAATTCATTTTTATAATTGTGGTTTGCTAAGCCATGACTAACCGACTTTACACAGTGTACAGTATGGACACTGTGACTTAGAGACTCTAGAGTCTGACATCACCGTGCATAGTTTACTTTGTCTCTTTGAAATGTATTAAAAGGGTAGGAGAAAACACTTGACAGAACAAAAACTTGACCTCTCCTAGCTCTCTTTCCAAGACTCAGGAACAGAGGTGGTATTCAGCAGTTTCTGACCAGTTCTGGAGAACCGGTAGCAGATATTTTGAGTAATTCGGAAAACCGGTATATACCATCTCTGATTGTCCCCATCTACTCTCTCCCTCCTGAGTCCCAGTTGATCGGGAGGAAATGGGTATTTGGCATAACCTTCCCCTGGAGTTGGGTGGGAATGGAAAATTTACATATCCTTCCCCTGCCACACCCATAAAGACATGCCGACAAAACCAAGCCACGCCCACAAAGCCATACCCAAAGAACCAATAATTTAAAAAAAATGAATCTCACCACCGCTCAGGAAGCTATGGACCTAATCACAAGTTCAAGCAAGGTGATGTCAAATTTTTGTTTCTTGCGCCTATCAATCTCTCTCCATCTACAGGCTTTGCTGTGAACAATAGGATCAGTGATAGTTTTCAAAGACAGGCATTTCTTTTCCATCCTGTGGAATAAATATTAGAGGGTCCCCCCCCGCACCCTACACAGAGTCTTTTTTTCCCTTCAAACTTCTCCCAGCATCTCCAAGGAAATATTCCTTGTATTAAGGGCTGCAGCATCTAGCAAAGCTTTCCATGATCAAATGAGCCATGTTAGACCAACATGATCAGTTCCCTTTATCTCTCTTTGCCTCTCTGTCAGTTCTTAAATTTAACAATTTGAATCACCCCTCAAAGGTTGAATATATCCAGCTCCCAAATCCCCTTCAGCATTTGCCTCTATCTTTTCAAGAAGAGGAATAGTTTTCTGTCAGAGCTCCTATAAGTCAGGGAGGGAGGAAGGAAAGAAGGATTAAATCTATAGCCACTTTTCTACTCTCCTCTCAAAATTTCTATTCAAGAAGAGAATATGGGGAAATTTGCATGGGTCAACTCGAATTAGACATTTTTGTAGTTACTGATAACAAGGTGGACAGCAGACAGAAGTGTATCTGAATGACCTTTCCATTCAACAACTTTTTAGGCTGCTCACACTTCCACCAAATGAGGTCATCAAGCCTGACCTTCTCTTCTTTTAACCCTGGGAAGAATAGGCAGGTAGGAAGGTTTCAGAAGAATGGAAATTTTTATAACAGAAAACAAAACCGGCAGCCTCAGAACATTTCATTACTTTCAGCTGCACAATAAGATCAAAACCAAAAGAAATTTGAATGAATTCTTAAGAATACTAAGAATATAACAGAAGAATAGAATCATCTTTTGCTGAAATGAAAATTTATAGAAATTGAAAGATTATGGCAAATTGTATTGTGTCCCACCATTTATTTATATTTCATTTAATATTTTAATTACTTTTACTTCAATTTAATATTGCTGCTCTTCTCATGTTCATGACTAATGCCACTAATTTAGTGTAGACATGATGATGCTCACATGTCTAACTTAGGAATATTTGACATGAATGTTTGCTTCCTTCACTTTTCATCTTTTTTTTTAAAGCTTTGTCCCAATTGGAAGCTTTGGGTTTTGTCATTTTCCAGAAACTTGACATTTGTCTGAGGCGGTATTTTTAACAATGATACTTAGCAAAGTTGTTTTTCTTTCTCCTCAGTCAGGGGCACCTTGGGTTAAAATACTGAAAACACCAATGCAGAAGTAATACAAACTTAATAATCTCTAAAACTGAAAAGGAAGGAGAGAAGAACCAGGGAGAAAAAGAAAAGGAGAAAGGGAATACAATGCCAAGGAACATTTCTGAACCAAATTCAGGAGGCCAAGGAGCACTGTGTCTGTTCTGAGCTTATCTTGCTGCTCCCATGTTTCCAATTCGATTGGCATATTGAGTCCTATGTTCTGATGTCTCTTCTATTGTCTCTGCAGTATCCAATCCGTGCAAAGATGTCTGCAGCCACCTCTGCTTGCTGAGACCTGGGGGATATACCTGTGCTTGTCCACAAGGGGCTAGTTTTGTGGAAGGCAGCTCAGAAGAATGTGACGCAGGTAAGGAGAGTTACCGGACATGCTCCTGTTTCAAAAGAGACAGAGTGTAACTAAGTAAAATCTGATGCACATAGAGAACCAAGGTAATGAGTAAACAGTAGTTTGGTTTCAAGAACAAGGAAATTGCATCTTAGACTATACCTTCAAATAAGGAACTCTCTACAGTCAAAAAGCCAGAAGTTGGGATAGAAAATTATTAGTCCAAATATTTTCCATTGCAACAATTTTCTATTTAGAACCATTTCCCCCCACAGGGAACTTTCAGAAATATGATGATGCCTTATACCAGTGATGGCTAAACTTTTTCTAAAGGTGTGCCAAAACTGTGTGCGCGTGCACTATCACACATGCATGCCCACCCATCTACGCATGCGCAAGAGACCCCCACATGTGTATGGGGGAATTTTCGCCCTCCCCAGGCCCCGGAGGGGAGGAAGCCCGGGGAGAGTGAAAATGGCCTCCCCCAGCCCTCCAGAAGGCCGAAAATCAGCTGGCCAGTGCGCACATGTGTGCTGCAGCTGAGGGCTGCCAGGGGCTACCATGACGGCAAACATGGCTCCTCGTGCCACCTGTGGCACACATGCCATAGGTTCCCGATCACGACCTTACACTGTACCTTCCAAAATATACATTACATAATGGCAGTGCAGTTTTCTACCATTCTAGATGAGGAACATATAATCCCTAAAATGTTTGGGACATAGATTTTAAGAAAAAAGAAGGTATTCTACCTTCACCCTTATCCAAATAGTAACAATAATGGAAGTGTTCTCACATATTTGGGCTTCAGTCTACTCGTTTTTCTTAGAGCTGCTCAGTGAGATCTTGCCTTCTCAAGAGATATTAAATGTGGCCTCCTAGTTCACTACTAACTTTGTGGTGCTTCTAACTGAAACAGCCACATACATTTCTTCCAGTTACTTCTGCCTCCATTCCTTGGTGTGTATATTCTCAGAGTATATGCTTTCTCATAAATATGAAGTTAGCCAAGACACTGCTATATTAATAATGCAATGTGTATGTTTCCATTGTGCACAATTGTGTATTTAGAGTTAAGAGGATATTTCTCATGAAATCTGGAGAACATTTCACTTCTCATTTTAATCACTTTCTATCATGTGCTATAAAATGCCTTTAAGTATTTACATGGTGTCTTCTGATTGATACGTAGCACCAATTGTTGCATTTTTGTGTACAAGTATCAGAAAAGTAATTCTTCAAAAGAAAACCTTTACCCATAGCAGTGATCAAACAGTTTATTTAATTTTGATGACTAACTAATCTATTTTATTTGTATGCTGGCGGAAGATGTTCTTGAAGTAAGTCTTCTTTTAAACAAATTGGAATTAAACATGACAGTCTTTTATTGTCAGAATGAAAGAAGTATAGCTTGTCTCCCCAGCACATTGTAAATATGCTCTGAAAAGACGAGGGACATTTTAGGGAAGCGAAGCTGGGGATAGCCAAGGGAAGGGAGATTGGCAGAAATCACTTTCTTACACACAAGCCTTTCTACCAATAGAAGCAGTTTGAAGATACATCCCTTGGGTCTGCTATTTTCACCAGCTGAAGAAAAGAGTGGCTATTTGTTGGTTAGTTTCACTGTTGACTGACCTCAAATATTGCTGTTTTGTTATTATATTTTATTGATAGGCATGTAGCAAGGTAGAAATATGGTTTTTTGTAAGATATTGTTTAACTTTCTGAACCTTACAGAAGAGAAAGTGGCATATAATCATCATGAAGAGAAAATAGAATCTTGTATTAGGCAAAAATAAATAAATCCTGATTCTTCAGAGTTATTGGCAGTGGATAGATCATCATGGTCTGCAGGATTGGTATAATGCATGCTGTCCCAAATGTGCTTTTTCAAGAGACAACTGGACTTTCTGGTTTTTCATTGAAGATGTTTCTCTTCTCATCCAAGAAGTTTCTTCAGCTCTGGCTGGACGGTGGGAAATGGAAGGATTTATATTCCTTGCAGACAGCTGGACATTTACATTCTTTTAGCGAGTCTTAAGGCCAGCTGGAGGTTTATCTGTGTCAACAGAGTCACCTGAGTGGTGCAAATGGGTGTGGAGCCTTCTTGGAACTGGTGAAAGGCCTGTGTTGTAGACTGGAGATAGATGACATCGTATATGTATCAGTCAGAGCTCAAGAAGCTTCTTGGATGAGAAGCAAAACGTCTTCAAAGAAAAACTAGAAAGTGCAGTTGCCTCTTGAAAAAAGCACCTTTGGGATCACCATGACCTGGATGACTGAGAATCTCCATAGACATATAATGCATGTCTTTCATTTTTCATAGCTATTGAATCTCCACCAACAATGCCACCAGCCTGCAGGTGTATGTATGGCGGAACATGCTATTTGGATGAAAGCGAGCTTCCTAAATGCAAGTATGTCTTTACAGATGGACCAAGAAAGACTTAACAAATAGCATACGCAACTGCCATTGTCTGTGTGATGGGCAGGGAGAGGCAGAACGATGAAAGCAGTGTTGTGATATTATGATATAAGCATGACTTCTTTTGGACATGCATTGTGGCACTGCATGTATGTCCCAAAGCACTGGAGTTTTTAGGGCACAATAGCAATAGCATTTAGACTTACTGTATATATTACTTCACAGTGCTTTTACATCCCTCTCTAAGTGGTTTACAGACTCAGCCTATTGCCCCCAACAATCTGGGTCCTCATTTTACCCACCTTGGAAGTATGGAAGGCTGAGTCAACCTTGAGCCATTGAGACTTGAACTGATGGCAGCTGGCAAGCAGTAGAAGTAGCCTGCAATACTGCATTCTAACCACCATGGGTCACACAATGCTGTGAGGTGTGCTCATTCTGATGTAGACAGTAAGCTCTGATAGATGCTCCTACATACAAATGCTGCAAAAATTCATGGTAGGCTTTAGCCCAGGAGGAAGCTCTTGTTTCTTACATAAATGCCTTTTTTTCCCCAGAGAGTAGTTCAGAGACAAAATGCAAGGAGCAACAAGAATTATAGATAATCCTAATATTATGTCAGAGTTTGTTGCATAAATTCAAATCCAGAAAGCACACACAGATAACTGATTCAGCTGGGTTCATTAATTTCTTTATATCCTTGACCTATGACCACAATTTGAGCCCCAAATTTTTGTTGCTAAGCAAGACAGTTGTGAACTGAACTTTGCCCCATTTTCTTGCCAGAGTTAAAGACTTTAAAAAAACACTAAACAAAATGATTTGTTTGGATCAAAACGGATTCCTACCCAAGAGACAATTAAGAAATAATACAAGAATTATAATGAATTCTCGGCAGAGTTGTTAAGTGAATCACTGCAGTTGTTAAGCGAGTAGCACAATTGTTAAGCGAGCCTGGCTTCCCCATTGCCTTTGCTTGTCAGAAGATCAGAAAAGGGGATTGGGTGACCCCAGAACACTGCAACCATATTAAATAAAAACCAGTTGCTAAGCATATGAATTTTGATCACGTGACCACGCAGATGCTGCAAGAGTCGTAAATGTGAAAAATGGTTGCAAGTCACTTTTTTCTGTGCTGTTGTAACTATGAATGTTCACTAAATGAACTGTTGTAAGTCAAGGACTATTTGTAGAAGCATTTTAATGTGAAAGGCCCAGTTAAAAACACAATTTCTCATCCTCCTTATACTCCTCTTCCTCCTCACACCACTAACTAGATAATATGTCAGAGTTGTTGCATAAATTCAAATCCAGAAAGCACACACAGATAACTGATTCAGCTGGGTTTATTAATTTCTTTATATACATAAGAATAGATGAATAAATGTACAATACCAACAGGTGGTTCTTCCAAGTAAACACAAGGCAGGAGAGTTTCAGACAAACACAAGCAGTTAGCTTCATTTTAGCAGAAAGCCCAGACAGACTGCTAGTTTACTTCTCAGAGCAGCAGACTGTTTTCTTAAGTTTCTGTTTCAATTCCCTGCACAGACTCAGATCTGTTTAAGCTCCCATTGGCTGATTTAGTTGCTGTGCCTATTCATTGGCTGACCTTGTTCCCAAGTCTCTCCCACTCATGAATATTTTAATATTTATTACAATATTCTATAGAAATGGGGTGATTGCAGAATTTCCCGTAAATTACTCCTGGCTCAGAGATAGTAGCTGTGATCCCTAAATAGATCCTGCAGTGTTGCTTTTTTTGCTCATCAAAAAGCAAACCTCTGCTAGTAATCTTCCATAACCTGAGCTTCTTGAGGAGGAAAGGGTGTCCTTCATAATTCAGATCAAACAAGAGCGGGGTATGGCGGGTTGTCTAAAGCTCTCACACTGGGAAAAGGCAGATTGACTGACATGTGGACCTCTTAATGAAAGAGAGAAAAGAGGATGTTCCTTCTTCCAAGGGAGGCCAAGAGAAGATCTTTGGAAACTGAGCATCAGTTTTTTCTTTGGTGGCAGAAGCTGCTAGGATACACAATTTAGGGGCTTTGGGCTATCTGTGTGCCCCTAGCAATCACACATGCTAGGCCTGGTGAGTTTGATATTCTTTGCCTGATTTGGCCAATTGCACATTCTAATTTCAGAGACATTCTCCAAACTTCATGTTGCCCATAGCCTCTGTCACTCCAAACTACCGTATATATAGCAAGGTGAAAGCAGAAGACCTAAATGCAGCATTGTAGCTTTATGAAAAACAAAATCAGAAGTAGCCAGATAGTAAGAGGAAAATGGTGGTCAGAGGTGGCAGATGGTCTCTGTTTTGCTTTGTTGTTGCACTGCTTGTGATGATTTTGTACTTATTTTTCTATTTTTGTACTCACTCGATTCTTTGTATTTTGTTGTTTGGCTGCTATTTTTATTGTTGCGAGCTATATAAATGTGTTACGGTCCTTTGACGCACTGAATGTCTAAAAGAACTGTCAAGAAAAGGAAAGCATTTAAATAGTTTATGTACACCAGCTGCATCTGCAACTGATGTGTGACCAGTGGCATTTTGAAGGGGATCTCATAAAACGTAAACATAAAAATCTTCCTTAAGATGCCCTTCTGGGAGGCTAGGCCCCAGTCTCATAGAAAAAGCTTTGTGCCTGCATTCTTTTTCACACTGCCTGATCACACGCTGCCTGAAAAGCTTGGCCACTGCATTTTTTATGCCGGTGTTTTAAAATCAGTCCTTAATAACAGAAGCCTCATGCTCCTATGTCCCTTTATAGGTTTGTGCCACTTTAAATTAGGAGGACAATAGAACACTTGCTGTATCTAAAATATTTGCATAGTAAAATAGGAAAGAGATTGTTGTTAAATATATTTAGCATGGATGCATTCTAATATGCACCCATTCCCCATCCTGGTAAAATGATATAAATCAAAGCAAAGTCTCTTTCAAGTCCACTCAGTGATTTCACAAACATATATCTGCCTTGTTTTCTGAAAAGTTAGTTTTGCCATTGCCACCTTCATGGAGCCAAGCCTAGTTCCACAGCCTTGGAATTTCCTGTTGATCTCCCTTCCAAGTATTAACCAGGTCCAACCTTGCTTAGCGTATCAAGATTAATCCATTTTAGCTAAGGACAGTGAAATATTATTGCTCAGGAAGGGACAGCCCACCTCAATGGAACTTCCGTTCATCTGTTACATTTTTAAATACATCATTCTTAAAAGCATCTGGAGTGATTAATTGGCAGGTCCTATCACAAATCAAGAAGAGTTCCCAAATATGGGGATTGGTAATCCAATGATTTAAAAATAACAAAACCCAGAAGAGCTAAAAGCAATTTACTCAGATGCAAAGAAAACCTAGACAATCAAAGCATTTTTACATTCAGCAGAACCTGCAGGGGGCACTGGGGCTCTATTGAAATCAAATCCCCTTTATTATTACTTTTTTAACCCAAATGCCATCAATTGTGACTCAGCATTCCAACATGCTCATTTCCAAAGAAATAGCAAGCTGTTTTGTGGCTCGATGTCTGCGTTTGTGGCTCTGTACTTCCAACGTATAATTACCAAGATATTGCTTTTTAAAAGAAAAAAATCACACCATCTATATATATATATATATATATNAGATAAAAAGCATTGAAATTGGGGTTGGCAGTTCGCCAAAGAACATTTTTTAAATGGATATGCTTAACAAATTGAATTCACTTGGTAAATTTTTATTTGCTAAATAAATTTTTAGTAGCTGGAAAATGATTAAAAATTAATCACCAAAAGAAATTAAAGGAAGGGAAAAGAAGTCAAAACTAGTTGTTATTCACTAGGCTTCTGTGTGTTTCTGCTCTTGCAAAGCACTTTTCTTTTCTTTTTGCCGCCACATCCATGTATCACATCAGATTTTGGATGTTCCCAATAAATGAGATTGGAATTTGGAGCCTCAGAAATAAATCAATAAATGATACAGCTTAAATTTGATTTATCTTTCCATTTTCAATATGTAGCCAAATGTTTCCTGGCTGGTAGTAATATTTTTTTTAAGGAACACATTATGTTTCAATTTTGAATTGGCACCAAGGCTGAAATTTATACATTCTTGGGACACCAAAGGGAAGTTGAAAAGAAGATAAAAGGTATCATGTGGCAAACTGCTGAATTTGTTTTCCATTTCTTGGCTGTTCAATGCTGTTGTTACAGAACCTTCCATTTCAATGCCAATCAAAATAGAAAAATCCCCGAATCTGCCTTGAACAATAACTCCCCGTCAGGAAATCACAGAGCAGCTTCATCATATTGAGCATCATATAGTTTAAAGGCAGAGCTACATAACGATATCATAAAAACCAAATGAGGGCCAATGCATTCCTTTCGCACTGAATGGATTTTCTAACATGCTGGCTGTGGAATTCTGGGAGCTGAAGTCCACATATCTTCAAGTTCCAGGGTCGAAAAACACTGATCCAGATAGTGTCTTGCCAGGCCAAAGGCCTTCTCTCTCAAGAGGCCCTCTCAAAGGCTAGTTCCATCTCTCAAAAGCTGTTGAGGGTCCCTTCAGCTACTAGTATGTTTTTTCAGCCATTGCAAAACTCTTTCAGGCTGAGAGGTATAGAAGCAGGCTGTGGCCAAACGTGGTTCTCAACCAGCAATTTCTCCATCAAGCCTTTCTCTCAACCACCTTTTGAAGCATCAGGAGCCGAATAAAGAAAAGGCATGTTTCCTATCCAATCAACTCCTATCAAATCCCATCTGAAGCAAATTAAAGGAGAGGCAGTTCAGTATTTCAGAATTCAAACTTGGCTATCTTCCACCTGAATCCTCCAAAGAAGATTTATTTCTAACTAGATGATAACCCTGTGTTGCTCAAGTATTTATTTATNTGCAAAAGTTAGAGGACATTTTGGATTACCTAATTGGGAACTGTATTATCAAAACTTCACAAACTTTGTCCCTGTAGTCATCAGGAGACTCACAGGCAAAAATAGAGAAATTATTATT